GAAATTGAAGTCAGACTGAAAAATAGCCTCGTGGCTGGAGCTTTCGTGGGAGATGTGGAAGGCGTTTCTCTTGGAAGACATCTCTTTTGCACAGAAAACTTGGAGTGAGAGAGTTGTGCAGAACAGGGGCTGGACCATGGGACAAATGTGTCCCTCTAACCAGAATATGGCTGCAGAAGCAGCCATTCTGTGGTCCATCCATGTTTATTTACTAAGACAAAGTGGAACAGCTCTTTGAGGATGGATTCATTCATTGCCTGATGTTCAGCAAAGCTGCGGTAAACCAGACTACAAACTTAGATCTCTCTTGGATCTACAGTACAAGCCTGAAGCTGTGCCTCCTGCACTGTGGGAGGAAGACCTCAGCTTTGCCTAGGTGTCTCTTGCTGCTTCTTTTTCTTACCTGTATCCTGATGCAGAATTAAAGAAGGTTTTGTGAAAATATTTTGCATTCATGTCTTCTAGATTCTTCTACCAAAATAGCCAAAGCTTTTAGGAAATTTGACTTTTTAGGCAGCTAGATGTAATTCTTCAAACTATTGTTGATATCCAATAAAATTCAAAGACAAAACTGTTCATAGGAATGATTGGGTTAATACTCAAAGAAATCAACTCTGAAATGCCCACCTGGCATTAATGTCTAGGTCAGGGCAGCACACGGTACTCTGACAGGTAACCTAAGGGTGGAAGAACAAAATCCCTTGGCTCTTTCAAAGCACAGCTCAGATTTTATTTGATTTTTCAGTTGTATCCAGGAAGGGTTTTTTCCTCCTTTTCCCATGTTGTAGGCATTGATCTGCTACTGCTGTCCAAGAGACATTGTTTGTCATCCCCTCTGTCTTTCCTTCTAGGTTTACCGCACTGAATTCATTGCTAAATGGAGGAAGCTAAGGCTGGATGTGATTCTTTGTCCCACACTGGGGCCAGCCTTTAACCATGGCTACGCTGGGAAGCTATTTGGTAATCTCCATTGAGGTGTCTCTGGATGCATCCATGGTGGTGTTTCTGGGCAGACCTGGACCAAGATATTTTGGTCTCTTGGACATTCCCCAAACCATGTGCGGTGCTTGGTCTTCCCTCTGGGGAAGAAAGAAAAGGAGAGGTCTCTTCTGGGTGGGTCTTCTTACGTCCCTACCTCATCTGAGCTGCAGGTGTTTGGATTATTATGGGGCAGCAATTAGTGGCACATCTGTCCCAGTCATTCACGGGTGAGTTTCCCCTGCCTCGTCTGCCCTGTAGAAAGCCCAAGAGCTACTCGTACAGCAGAGCGTGGCTGCAAGCATAGTTGTCAGAGGGGCCGTAGACCTTAGTACAAGGCCAGGCTCTTCTGAATGTGGCCATCTCACATTTCCCAAGACTTTGCAAATAGCAGAAAGGCTCGTTGCCTGTGACTTGCAGAAAAAGGCAACTTTTTATAGCTTCCAGCAAACAGTCAGGGTCCTCCATCTCTCTAGCAATGGCCCTTTGGGATCCAAAATTCCCAAGATGGTGTTACAGAACTAGACATCTGGATTATCTTCAAAAGATAGCTGGGATTTTTCCCTGGGGTATGGGAAACATAGATGCAGACTCTGAATCAGATCAAATACTCGCATCTGTCTCTCCCAGAGCAGATCTAACCTCCACCCAACCGGCAGGTGAAGGCATGGGTCTCTCTCTGGTCTCAGCAGCCATGTGGCCCTCAAACCTCTCCATCAAAAGTCCCTTTGGAAGCAGCATGTTTTCATGGTCTCTTCAGTTCCCCCAACTCCAGTCTACAATTCCTGCAACCCAAGTTATCATCCGAAAGTCATTGCTGGCCCAGCAAACTAAATTTTTTCCATTTTACATGCTTTTTGTGATCTTTTCCAGCTGCAACCTGCTATACCAATTTATACAATGTCTTAAACTTCTCTGCTGGGGTCGTGCCAGTCAGCAGAGTCACAAGAGCCGCCGAAGAAGAACTGATGCATTACCAAGGGCACTACGGAGACCCTCAGGAGAAGAGGCTGAAAGAGGTCAGCGGGGAAAGAGCGTAAGTCTTAGCAGAAGGTTATGACTGGCACAGTGACACCTCTGGCACATTGTCCCAAGGCTTGTCTACATCTCGTGATGAGAGTGGCAGCTTGTTTATTAATGCAGTTTGCATACAGCATGTTACTACCCTTCATGTGGTGCAGCTGGGCTGGTATACATCAGCCTGACAACTGTCCCTGTGCATGTCTTCCTTTGTCTTCTCTTCCTATAATGTCGAAAGACAGCATTGTCTCTTGTGCCTCCCCAGGTGCTCTGGTGCTCTGACTCAGCACCATGCTTAATTTTTGCAGGCTGTGGAAGGAGCTGTGGGGCTGCCGGTGGCCATCCAATGCGTGGCTTTGCCATGGCAGGAGGAGCTATGCCTTCGCTTCATGAAGGAGGTGGAGACACTTGCCCACAGCCTGAAAAGAAATGTGTGATTTCTGGGAACCTGCCTTCACTATGATGACTTTGCATTCCCTGCCCTTCACGCCAGCCACCTTCTACCTGATGCACAAAGCAAAGTAGATAGTGACCTGCAGACTCTGAACCACCATTTTAATAAACTGGCAATAAATGCTGTTTAAAAACAGTCAGCAAAAATCTCAGCTCTGTCCAAATTTTCCTTCGTTAGAGTTAAATTGAGTCAAAAAAAAAAACCCAAAAGAAAGGAACGAGAGTTAATGCTGGACCAAAGAAGTCCAATAACTATAGTGTAATGATAGCTGTTGCATGACATGAGACTGAAGAGCTGTTTACATCAATATTTTACTTCCAACAGTGGGCAGGAGATGTTTGTGGGAGAGTGTATAACCTGATAAGTGCAGGATTCCATCTCTGGCTGTGCCATTGGTTGGCTAAGAGACTTTGTGGCAAAGACTTGCAGTCAGCCCACCATTTTTAATAGCTGCCAAGAAAGCTCTCCTTCATGAGCTTATTGGGCCCCTTCCTGAACTCATTTACCCTCTTGATCTCCACACCATCTGGTGGCAGCGAGCTCTGCAGTTTAACCATGCAGTGAGTAGTGGAAAGCTTAATTTTCTTTAAGCATAAGCTGTGAGAAATGGTAACTGGTAAACTGGTGTGTCTTCACTCCTGTTCCTGATTGTTTCTTCCAGTTAAGCAAGGGCAAAAGAAGGTTGGGGGTTTTTAATTGGCCATAAGCCTGCATATCTCTCCAGGCACCAGGGCTGGAGGCAGTATTTCCCCAACAGGAGGAGAGAGCCATGGGGCCAAGGGGAGACACCGCTTTTGTTATTTATCTGCCTCCCTGGGGCTGCGCAGGGATGCTGCAGTCATCCAGCAGCCTCGCATGGTCACAAGCAGGTCTGAGTCACACGGAGAGTCCTGGCTCCTCAACCTGAGTCACTGTCCTCCGTTCAGCACAGAGCACGAGAAGGTCCACAGCACAGCCCTGCTCCCAGAAGATGCCCTGCAGCCACAGAGCTCCTGCCTGATGGGAGTCTGCCAAATGACCGTGACTATCTCAGGCCAGGAGCAAAGGATTTTTAGCTATCCTCTCATAGGGAAGATGGGACCTCACCATTAAACAAGTAACCTGCCCAGGTAGTATTCCTGGCTAGATCTTAGCATGCACAGACCTTGTTTTGCAAGGAAAGGACAGTGTCCTTTGCTCGTGTATCCCTCCATAACTTTGCAAGGCTGAATGAAGTGAAAGGGTTCTATTTCTAAAAAGAATTTCCCTATGCATATTTGTGCTCTGCATTCCAGCTGGTCTTTGTGGGTGGCTCTGGAAGGGATCCACTGTTCCTCCAGCTCTCCCCTCTCCTGCCTCCAGCCAGTCATTAGATCTCAGGATCCCGCAGCATTAGCTCCCAGGACCCAGCACCCAAAGAGAATTCTCACTATGATCCAGCAGATACTGAAGCAAAGTTGCATGGGTGCTCTCAGCCCTGGTCTGCAGGTCAGCCAAAGCTCTCCTGGCACTGAAGTGGATGAGATGGAGACATGTCCAGAAGAAGATGGACGAGGTGTGGGGGAAACAAGAGGCAGGTTTGGACCAGATGTAGGGGTCTGTTCAGGAATGTAAAGAGCAGGTAAGTGCCTTGGCTTGGTAGAGAGCAAAGCACCTTCCTGAGTAAAGCTCAAGGTCCTTCTCAAGACAGGTTGTCCATGACGTCAGCTGGCAGTGATGCAAAAATGTGGGGGAAAAGTGGAGGCGGTGATGCTGAGAACAGTCTGGTGAGCTCAGGCACTGAAACTCAAGGAGGGAAAGACCTTTGGTAGGGTATAACTTTAGGTTTGCAGGAGACTTCTTCCTCCAGACCTCCTCTGGGCTGGAAAAGAGGATGTCAGCTCCTTCTCACACCCACCAGCACAGTGCCGCTCTCTTTCAAACCCTTCCATGGCTCCTTCACCATAAGCTGTTGGCTCAGGCTGTGCAGCCCTCGCAGACCTGCACTGTGTGTTTGCAGAGTGCTTGTCCAGCTGCCTGGCGCTGACCAAAGTCCAGGCTTTGGTCTGTCTCGGAGAATTAGGTAGAAATGCTGCTTGGGCCAAAAGGGCTTTGTTTCTACTGGTTTCTCGCATCTCCAGCACAATATCCTGGCTGCAGTCTTTGCTTTGATAATTTTTCCTCCTTCCTTCTGATTTTAATAAGAATTTAAATCTGCTCTGCTCAACCCACATTTCATTCTGTGGCCAGATGAGTAACTGATCAAGGTGGAGAGATTGAGTCATCAGACAATCCAGTTTTTTAATTTGGTTTTACTTTATTTTGCAGGGTTTCTTCTTTAGTTTGCAGGTTAGACTTTGTATAGTCTGTTGTGGTTTAACCCCAGCTAGCAACTAAGCACCATGCAGCCGCTCGCTCACTCCCCCCTTGGTGGGATGGGGGAGAGAATTGGAAGGGTGAAAGGGAGAAAACTCATGGGTTGAGATAAGAATAGTTTAATAATTGAAGTAAAATAAAATAGAACAGTTAAACAGGTAAAGCAAAAGCTGCGCACGCAAGCAAAGCACAACAAGGAATTCATTCACCACTTCCCATCGGCAGGCAGGTGTTCAGCCATCCCCAGGAAAGCAGGGCTCCATCACGCGTAATGGTTACTCGGGAAGACAAATGCCATCGCTCCAAATGTCCTCCCTTTCCTTTTTCTTCCCCCAGCTTTATATGCTGAGCGTGACGTCATATGGTCTGGGGTATCCCTGGGGCCAGTCCGGGTCAGCCCCCCTGGCTGTGCCCCCTAGCACTACTTAGCAACAGCTTAGCACTACTTAGCAAGAACCAAAATATCATTGTATCAACATTATTCTCATCCTAAACCCAAAACACAGCACTATACCAGCTGCTTAGAAGAAAATTAACTCTCTCCCAGCTGAAACCAGGACATAGTCACAACATCAGAGGCAAATAAAACTCTCTAGAAGAACTGATATCAGCAGAACATGAGTTGGTAGGACAGGTCAATTGGCCTCTTACAGTACCCGAAGGAAACAGAGCTCTCTGGTGTAACAGAAAGTGGCAGAGGGCATTAGAAACACCAGCTTCCCCAGAATCCCAGACATTTATTTCAAACCAGTTTCAAGGGAGGAGGTAGTTGAAACAGCTAAAAGCAAATGTTTAAAAAATAGGTGAAATGAAACACCTTGATGTAGCAAGGCTCATCCTTGAAACACAAAAATGCCAGAATTAGGGTTGGTATATCTTTCACTCTGAAACAGCTATTAGCTACACAAATCCTCATCTCTCCAAGCACAGTCTCAATCTGCTCTTTTCTTTTTTTTTCTTTTTTTTTCTTTCCTTTTTTTTTTTTTTTTTTGTTACTGTTCTCCTACTTTGCACTCAAATCACCAGGCTTTCCCCCTGCCCTGCTTGCCCATGACAGTCTCTGCCGTCACTCAGTGGGGACAGACCTGTGGAAGACACCAGGCATGATGGAAGAAGTAGGAATGCTCCTGGACTTCTGGTGAAGAACTAACAGCTCTCTGCAGCGTCTTTCCTGATGGCGTCTCTACCTTGCTGGAGAAGTTGTAAGTAGGATCCATACAACCCACTTGGCTATGGGAAGGCCCAAGGAAAATAGTGCAATACCCACAAAAGTGGGAAAGATGTAGGGATGGTCAGGAGAGAAAGCAGCCCCTGCTGTCAGAGGTGTGAGGGTTGGTATCGGAGGTTTCTCTCCCCATCCTATTGCAGTTTATTCGGGGAGAGCCAACAGGGTCCTGGCTGAGCAACACAAAAAAGGGTTGATAGAAACAGACCCTCACCTCTCCACTGATGTTCTTGGTTGTTGGAAAGGTGTAGATTAAGTAGTGGCAAATTTCTTACCAGCTGTTATGTTCTGTGAGTGTTGGTGGAGTTGGACTGGAATTGAGGAAAGTCTCATGCTTCAAATAGATATTCCAGGCTGAAATGAGTCAGAAACTGGAGAGTTCCCATAAAACATTTATTCAGCCCTCTGACCCAACTGGAAAAACTTCTCCAGAGGCAACCAGCCCATTTCACTGTAATTTCAGCTTTTTGAGAAATGACTTCTAAAATTCTTTCAGAGCAGCATAGTTAACATACCTCTTTTTGTAAATTGTTTTGAAAAGGTTCATTGGAGCGTTTGGTTCCAAAAACATGAACATGAGATACAACTGTCAGGATTTATTCTTTGTCATTTTAATCAAAATGGAGTCAAAGCCGATTTAAAAAGAATTATTACCAATTTAGAGGCAAGACAGTTTATTTATAGAAAATTTCTGTCAAAACCCAGCCTGCTTGAGAGCTGAAGGTATTGGACAGAGTGTGATGGCATTAAGTCAGTGCAGTTTTGCTTTCGCAAGCAAAGATGGTACAGCTCTTGCTGGGGACAGGAGTCATCTGAGTTGGTCTAACTGCCTTTTTTCTGTGATGGTGCAAACTGAAGGAGATGTCGTGGGTGCCACAATGAAATCCCAGACCAGCTGCTACAGGCTGACTCCTCTTGTGAAAAGGATCTTGGCTTTCATCTTAACTCCACTTGTGAGTTTGACCTTGACCCTGGATCAATTCAGGCAAGAAAAACATTGCAAAAATGTTGCACTTGGCCTTGGTTGTGGAGGAGTGAGCACTGACCTGTGAGTCAGGCAGGTCTGTCTCCTCTGCTATGGACTTAAGATTTTACTTGGGACATCCTTTTGTTCCCTGCCTCAGTTTCCCCATGGGGACAGTGGTTTCCTTCTCAGCAGACTTCTTTTTCCTAAGCACCCCTTGCTCCCCTTTGCCTAGATGTGGGTCCACACAAAGCTACCCACTGTGACCCAGCCCCTCCGCCTCCGTGTAGCTGCTCCCCTCCGCAGCAGGAACTCTTTAATTTCATATGGTTCTCGGAGTGCCTACTCAGAGGAGTGGATTTAGATTTTGAAGGCTTGGATTTTGAAACCATCCCAGTCCTGAGGCTGGATTCAACCTTCTCTCCCTCCAGTCACTCCCCACTGCCTGTGTCCCTGCTGCAGGCTGTGGTAGGGGCTGTGGGGCTGCCCGTGACCGTGCTGTGTGTGGCCTTGCAGTGGCAGGGGGGGCCATACCTCCGGTTCATGAAGGAGGTGGAGATTGTTGCACATTGATAGGGAAAGGGGCTTCCTCAGCAGCATCCGGCCATGTAGAAATGCAGCTGCGCCTGTTGATAAAGCTGCTCTTTGAAATGCCCAGTCAGTCCGGACACAGCTGGCTTTGTCTCCGTTAAACATTTGCCAAGCGTCTAAAGGGCAAGATCGGAGCACAGGTCCCAGTGCACAAGTGGATGCAGGAAGTGGATGTAGAATGCCCTGACATTTCCCAGCACAGGGAAAAAAACTCCCACATCTGCTCAGCCCAATGTAGAGCTTATGTTGCTGTCACATAGGCAAAGAGCCCACCTCTGCCTCGGGAAGCCCTTGCACGGACTCCCGGAGGCTGGGAGAGGGCTGGGTATTGCTGTGTGCTGACCCTGTTCACATGCCCCTTCCAGAGGCACCTGCTGCAGCCAGCACCATGGGGCAGGAGCAGGAGCTGGATGGGCTGCAGGCATGTCCCCATGCCGCTGCTCTCATAAAACCAGCAGTGCCTTAGCTGAGGAGGCATCCTCTGAGCATTCCCTACTGACAAAAACTTAGAGAAAACAACAGTGAACTCTCATAACTCCTAAGAATGGACATGACAATGAATGAAAAATCAAGCATTAGGGAACTACCTAGCCCTGATGGGAGAAGGCTCTTTACCTTCCTTCCCATATCCAGTTCCACACTCCGTTGGAGCAGGATCAGGTTCTGGGACTCTGGCCATCAATGCAATGGGCCCCTGGCCATTGCAACCTTGCAAAGTTTTGTAATGCACAGTCTAGCTGCCCAAAAACCTTTTTCAAGGCAGGATCTGTAGGAGGACCCACCATCCAAAACCAGCAGAGAAGATGACAGACAGACCATGGCATTTGTTTTGGGGCTGATGTTGGCTGGGTTGTTGCCTTCAGCTCAGTGAATGGTTCTTGTGTGCTTGTAGTGAGAGGCATCTGTGCTGGAAAGACCTCAGACACTAGCTGTCCCAATGTCTGTTGGAAATAGTTTGCTTCTGGCCTGCAACCCTGTGGGATTTTCCACTCCTAAGGCAATACCAGTGTGCTCTGTCATGGGGTGGAAGAGCCTCTCCTTCTGGTGCACGCAGACATCACGGCGGTGCTCAGCCCTATCCCACAGGCCTCCTGAAACAGTCTCTGGCCACCATGCGAGCGGCACAGGCTAAAGGATTTGGTGAGTGAGTGGGTACCCCACAGCTATGCATCCTCTCGTCATACCATTCCCCATTCCTGTGCAGGGAACTCTTGTGATTTCAAGCTGTTTTTTCCCCTTCTCCCATTGTCCTCTCAGGCTATGCAGGAAATAGGAGAGCAGCTATTTCCTTGTTTCTTTTGTTCAGCTGATCCCACAGCCCTTCCTCCCCACAAGAGACTTTCCCGCAGTCCAGAAAGCCCCCTATAAACCTGATGCACCAAGGTTCAGAGGCCAAACTTCATGTTTTCTGTTTCCTAGTCAATCATTCTCCACCACACGCTCCACTGAAGGCAGCCTTGCAGAGGTCAGTTTGGACTTACGAACTATTTGCTGACCCGAGGCAGGGGTGCTGGGAGGAGGGACAGGCCTGAGGAGGCAGGGAAGGTCTCCTGCTCCTGCCTTGCTTTTCTTTCTCACTCCATCCCTGGAGACCAGAAGGCCGCATTATGATCCAGCAACAGCTGAGACAGTTCCTGACAGAGAGGGAGGTGGATCCTTCTGCTGCCCTCGTCCTGCTCTGCAGCTCGGCGGCAGCTGTGGTTGCCTGGAAATGGCTGGGCAAAAGGCAGATCCAGAAGAAAATGGAAGAGGCTCGGAGGACCCGGGATGAGGGTGTGAAGAAAATGGCAAAGGCTGTCCAGCAGTTCAGGGAGCAGGTAACCCGTCCTTCTGCGGGGGTCTGAGTTCTGCCACGGTGCCTGCTGATGTTGTTCCTCAGCTCCTCCTTCCACCTCATGCCTCCATAGCTTTTATAACAAGGAGTCCAGGGGAGTTGTGCCAGCAGCCCTCAACAAGAGGAAAGGCTGCCTTGGGGGGAAGGGAGATCACTGCTCTCCTCAAGCTGGATGAGTTGTGGTGGGAGTCTACAGCCAGGGAGATGTGAATTACTCACTGGGAAGAGGTTTTGGACAATACAGGTGACAAAGCACTGGACCTTCACTGATCCAAAACCCAGTTCTTTTGGGATCTAGAAATGTCTCTTGCCTCTATGGGTAGAAGCAAGAAAGCTTTTTCCTCTTCCTAACTCTAAGTTTACACATCTGTCCACACTCCTATATCTTTATCTCTAAAACCTGGCTTCTGGATGGCTCTTGGAGAGTCTTCAAAAGAACTTTCAGTAGGGTTCCCCGCAAGTGAGACCTCCCAGCCCAGCAGGCTGCCCAGAAGATGCTTGGCCTAACTTGACACTAATGAAGCACAAGGCATTCAGTGTCCCCTGGGAGCAACCAGGACATGACATGGGGATGAATGAGGCAGGCACCCAGTCAGCATGGATGTGGCCCTGAATTCCTG